GGGGCCTTCCTCTCCTCATTCCTGGGTACCTGCATTCACAAGGAATGATTGAGTAACAATATATCGGTGAGTATTTCTCTAAGGCACATTAGTGCAAGGGATGGGTCCGAGGAAATGCGGCTCTGATACCAACTGTAACAACCCCGGAAATTCATAATGGAATTTACATTATAAATATCCAATGCGGAAGCGAAGTCAAAATTTGAATAACATCCCTTACACTGAAACCAAAACGTGCTCACAAAATATAGAAGATTAAACTACCTAAAGGAGAAACTTGAAAGTAAAAACTACGAATGTAACTATGGAGTCTTTAGGCGTCCCCTTCGTCGTCCGCCTGCGGAACCGGCTCGGGAACGATGTCCTCTTGATCTGAAATGATTAAATAAGGAATGAGCTACACTAGCCCAGTAAAGACATCACGATATCTCACCGTCACGGAGGTAAAGGTGGGTAGAAAACACGAAAAGACCAATGGAGCATAATTTACAACAAATCCTTTTATCGATAATAAAACCTTTACCATTCACTTACCCGGTGAAATTCATAAGACAATATACGAAAACAATAACATCATTATCATCATGAAAACATATATATGAACTGTATAACATAATACCTATCACACTTTTCGTAATTCAATCGTTAACAACATATTTTCCTAATTCACCAGCCCACTAGTATCCATGGGGATCCATAGGGGTCCCGCTACCCGTTAATCCTTAACACTTGAAATCATATTCCAGGGCCCTCCCCATACCCCGTCCGGTATGGGCGCCAAACCATAGACCTCATTACCCCGTCCGGTATGAGGGTGAAACGGACCGTCCCCATACCACGTCCGGTATGGGCGCCAAACACATAAGATCTCCATACCCCGTCCGGTATGGGAGACCACAATCCCGGTAGGGTTCCCTACGGACCCGATCCGTCCACTATCTCCCAGGATATCTAGTCAGGCTGACCACATTATACAATTCTCATTTACATAATCTTTCATTCTCCTTTTCCCTCAGTCAGCATTATTAATCACATACAAACAAGCAAAACGATAATTTATGCCAAATAGACAACATACAGCATCAATATCCCGGTCATTCAATCCATAATCAATAAAACAGTAAAATATGCACACGAAACTATAAAATGAAAACATCGAACCTCATGCTGCATTTAAAACTGTAAAACAGGCCAAATAACAGTTAACCGACAAACACACTAGACTCGGGCTCCATTAGCGACCTTAAGCAATTTCACACATTCGTTGATTCATGAAATACCGTTTTATCGTTTATTGAACTTATATTACCGTGATAAGAAATATGGCCCCCCCTTTTTGGGGGGGGGGGAAAAAAACCCCCCCCCCCATCAAAGGGCGCTAAAAAAGCTGTCCCTAATTTTCCCTGAATTTTCCTCGGGGAACTGAAACCCCCTAAAGGTCCCTTGCCCGTGTTCCAAAAATAAATCCCAAATTAGGCTCAGGGCTCCTTTTTGGCCAATATCGCAATTCCAGCACGGCGGCTCCCCCGTGCTCCGGTGGCGGCGATTCGCCTCGGGTTGGCCGTTTTCGGCCGTTTCCGGCCGAATTCGGCCACACTTGCATCGTTTCCTGTGATAAGACAACCCTAGGGCCCTCGAGGAGCCAAAAAAATTACGGAAAACCGAAGCTTACCGGCGGCGGTGCTCTCGGGTGCGACGGCTCTCCGGTGAGGTTCGTGCTTTGGTGATTTGGCTCCGATCAATTGTGCAATGAAGGTTGGGTCTCGGTGATGATAAGCTGCAATGTATATGATTGCCGCTCGGAAATTAAGGACAGCAGAGAGAGAGCTTCTTCTGTGACAGAGATGGCCTGAGCTGCTTGGAGTCGCGCTGAAGAAAATACAGAGATGGGTGATATTTGTGTTTATGTCAATAAGTAGAGGCCAGTAATTGGTTCTGCGAGTAGAAGGAAAATAAAGAATGAGAAGAACAATTTGAGGGGATTTTTCTAAGTATTTTTGCGAAGAGTCCATGGAGAAGATGAGCTCTCTCTCTCTTCTCGGCCTCCTTCTCTCTCTCTACGCCCCTTTGGCCTCAAGGATTCCTCTTTTTCTCTGTTTTCGAGTTTCGTTCTTTATAGTGGAGCGAAGCTGTTTAGATCAGCATCCCCGCACTGAAGATTCTCTAAAATCACGAAACCCATCTCTTCCCGCTCGCGACGTGCACGTCCTTTCCCTTCCCTTCTTCTTCTCCCGTTTTCTGCGCCACTACGCTGCTTATAGTGGAGCGAAACTGTTTAGATCAGCATCCTCGCACTGAAGATTCTCCAAAAATCACGAAAACCCATCTCTTCCCGCTCGCGACGTGCACGTCTTTGCTTCCTTCTTCTTCTTCCGTTCTCTGCGCCACCACGCTCTTTTTTTTTTTGGCTGGATAAATAATTAATGAGGAAATTACAAAAATGCCCACGTTCTGGGCGTTACACTCGCAGTTATTGGAATTTTAATTTACGAATTATAACTTTTGTTTAAAGTAAAATTAACATATATTAAAAAAAATTATTTTGCACTGAAAAATTAAAATAAGTTAAATACATAGTGTATATATAGTTGCTTATTATTATTAGTGAAGGAGTCAAGCTGTAACCAACTCACTCACCTAAAAAGGAAGTCGTACAAAAACCAAAAGTGTTTATCATAAAATAGCATGTAAAAGATTTACCCAAATATAAAAAGACAAGTCAAAGATATACACGAAGAGAATGTGTAAGATATACAATATCTTAATTATTTTTTAAATGTAATAATCTGGCTTAATCTAATAATTATCATTATTGTTTTTATATTAAAGAATTAATTTCGTCAACATAAATTTTTCATATATTATGATTTATAAAAAAATTACATTTATTTATTTTATTTTATATTAAATTTATTTGTAACGTGTAAAACTCAAATTAGAGTCTTTCAAATAGACAAAGAGAACAAATTATACGTAAAACTTTACTTAAATTAATGTAACACTAATACTAACAATATTATTATTATTATTATTTAAATATATTTTTAATTTAAAAATAAAAATAAAAAGACAAAATAAACAAAGAGAATAATAGATTAAGAAACACAGAGGATTTGGTATTATTTTTAAATTTTAAATTATACGTTGTCATTTATTATTATTATTTTTTGTTTTCACAACATTGTTATAAACTTTTAATAATATAAAAATATTTTGTATAATTTTGACAATTGGACGACACCCATCTACTAATTTATAGGGACATGGTCGGCCAATGTGGGGGGGAATTGCAGAAGTACTACTCGTGTGTTTATTATATACCCACATCACATCATGCCTCTACCTCCTTTTTTTTTAAAAAAAAAAATTGAATTTACTAATTATGAAGAGGTTTTGTAGTAAAACAACTATATCACAATTCATATTCTCATAACATAACACAATTTATCAGCAGAGTGTGGTAAAGGTGTTAATTCATATTTAGTTTTCATGGTCAATGAACTTCGCCCTTATGGGTCATGGAGGATCAATTCTGTCTGCAACTCTCAAAACTCGATGTGGGGGAACCATCTCAGACAGTTACAGTATGATACTGAACTCATTCTCGTCTCCCACTAACATAATCAACTACAACAACAGCATATGACTGTGTACCAACTATTTAAGCAACTTCCATAATCATCCTTCTGGACAGTAGCCACCAAAAACTCAAAAAACTCAAAATTGATTGACCTCTTAAGAGCAGTAATGATCATCTGAAACGGTAAGCAGAATCTCCTTTCTACTTGATTAATCATTTATCCATCCTAATCATGTATTCATCTTTCTTACATACTTGATAATGTTACTATATGCATATACCATTTAATGTAATATCTCTGAATCCTGCGGTAAAAATTGAACCATCCATTAGCATCACCAGTATCACTTGAAGTCATTTGGCTTGCCAATCTTAATGTTATGCTCCTCTAAAAACCCCGTAATTGCATTTTTCTGCCAACTCTTGAAACTTCTGCAACCAGTTCACGTACATTAGTAAGAAATCACTGACATTTTGAAATCAGGAACAGAATATGATAGTGTAGTAATAACTAAATATCCACTTAGATAATAATTTCTTTTATTGTGCCAGATACAGAACAAATATCCTCTTCACTGTGCCATAGACTCTTTATTTGTAACTAAAGATAAGTCTCTCAAAATATTCTATAATCAGCATAAATTGTTAAATTATTAAGAATCAGTTAAAATTTATTCTTATCAGCTTGAATTTGAATTTTAAATTTTAAATTTTGAATTTAATTGCAATCGGATAGGGTAGAATTTGAATTCAATTGCAAGTCTATCACTTGCACGAAGAAATGGAATTTATGGGTGTAACTGGCTTATTTAAGCCATGCAAATACAAATAAAAAGTGCAGACCCTTTCCTCCATTGCCTTTTTCAAAAAACATCTAACCACGAAATAGAGGCGTTTGCAGGGTTGCACTTTGTTTCGGTGCCCTCTCTCTCTCTTACTTTCTCTCTCTACAAAAATTACGTAAATTGCTTTTGCATATAGCAATTTCCTACGTCAACATACTACATGGTATCAGAGCCACTTGTCTTGAGAGATCTATAAAAAGAATACAACTTATCCACCAATCCAAAAAATCCCAAAATCCGTTACGAAAATGACAACCTGTTCTAGTTCATCTGCACCTCCACACTTCAATGACGAAAATTACCATGTTTGGGCACTGAAAATGGAGATTCATTTGCAATCTTTGAATCTCTGGGATGTGGTTCCCGACGACACTGAGCCACCTCCATTGCGGGACACTACGTCCCTAACTCAGATCAAAAGGCATGAAGAGGAACTTATGAAGAAATCTCGTGCACTTGCTTGCATTCACTCAGCTATCTCAGACACGGTTTTCAGTAAGATCATGCCTTACAAAACTCCCAAGTTGGCTTGGGACAAAATCATAGAAGAATTTGAAGGTGGTACCAGAAGCAAGAGAACGAAGTTGCTGAAACTAAAAGTAGAGTTTGTGATGTTACGGATGAGAGAAGATGAGACGGTGAGATAATGATGTTATGAACAAAATAAGGCTGCTGGGAGAGAACTTTCCTGACTCACGGGTGGTAGAACAGATTCTAATCAGTTTACCAGCTCGGTTTGAGTCCAAAATCTCTATGTTGGAGGAGCTGAATGATACCGATACCATCACTGCAGCCGAGCTTATCAATAAGCTGGAGTCGCAGGAGCAGCGAGCCAACATAATAGAAAATAATTACACAGAATGAGCCTTGTTCATAAAAGCCAAAGCAGGAATTGAGAACAAAGGAAAGCAAACTGGAGAGAAGAGCTCAACTGAGAAGTAACATGGAAACCAAAACCGTGGTAAGCAATCAAAATTTTTTTCTCGTAAAATTTGCACCTTGATGAACCATCTAGAAAAGGATTGTTGGTACAAGCACAAGAAGGCAATTCAATGCCATTTCTGTAAAAAGCTTGGCTATAAGGAAAGAAACTGTAGGTTGAAGCAGAAGCATAGTGAAGGCCAACCTAAAGGAGAACCTCAGCAAGCAAACATCACCGAAGCAACTGGTGAAGCTTCAACAAATTTGTATGTGACCTCAAATGAAGTCATAGATGAAGATGACACAAAATGGATCGTTGACAGTGGGTGTACATCCCACATGTGCAAGAACGAGTCCATGTTTACCTACCTAAACAAAGCTCTGAAAGACAAAGTGAGGCTGAGAAATGGCAAGTTTGAGAATGCAGAAGGTAAGGGCAATGTCTCTGTAAATACCCACCTAGGTACACGGTATATTACAAATGTGCTTTTTGTACCTACATTAAAGCAAAATTTGTTAAGTGTGAATCAGATGACAAATAATGGGTATAAGGTTCTTTTTTAGAGCAAATATTGCAGAATTTATGATCCTGATGGGAAGTAGATCGAGATAACACCAAAGATTAATCAGAATTACCTGTTGTGCATGAAGAAGCCAGCATAAATGGCCTGTTATGCTAATGCAAATGAGGGAGAAATTTGGCACAGAAGGTTTAGACCTTATCATATGTCCGGTTTGAAGAAGTTGCAAATTTAGAACCTGAGTCTCAATCTCCCTACACTTGATGAAACCAATACTGTCTGCAGTGTATGTCAAATAAGCAAGATGCACAGAACAACATTCCCTGCGCAAGCTAACACACGGGCAACAGAAAAGCTTCAACTTGTTCACTCTGATATCTGTGGGCCAATGAGCCAAGATTCCTTGAATGGGAGCAGTTATTTCTCCCTTTTTATTGATAATCAGACCCGGATGGCCTGGGTCTACTTTCTCAAAAACAAAGCTGAAGTATCTGGTAAGTTTAAAAAGTTCAAATCGATTGCAGAAAAGAAAAGTAGGTGTTTACTTAAAATGCTAAGAACTGATAATGCCCTTGAGTATAATTCACAGGAATTCATAAATTTTTGTAGCTCTCAAGGGATCAAAAGGCAACTAGCTGCCCCCTACTCACCACAGCAAAATGGTGTTGTAGAAACGAAGAAAAGAACTGTGGTGGAAATGGGAAGATGTCTGATGAATGACAAACAATTGCCCAAGTAGTTCTGGGCTGAAGCAGTAAACACATCTGTTTACTTGCTTAATCAGCTGCCCACTCAAGCCCTGGAGAAGATCACGCCATTTGAAGCTTGGCATGGCAAGAAGCCCGAGACTACTCTCACCAGGATCTTTGGCTCTGTTTGTTACAGTCTAGTTCCTGAAGAAAGAAGAAGAAAGTTAGATGACAAGGGAGAACCTAGAATTTTTCTAGGCTATAGTACAGAGACAAAGGAGTACCGAGTGTATATGCTGAGCTCCAGAAAACTTATGATTAGGAGAGATGTTGTGATAGATGAAGGCTCACACTGGAATTGGACAGAAGAAAAAATAGAACGTGATGAGGTAGGGAAACTAGTGACAGGAGGAGATGAATTTGTACCTACTCCATTTCTCTTTGAGTTAGAAAATGATGAGGAAGTTGGAAATGATGGAAGTGCTTATGAAATTAGGATGAGAAGTCTCTCTGAGATATACAAATCATGCAATTTTGCCTTCAAAGAACCTACAACCTATCA